ATGCTTCCCAGTTAGGTAGGTAAAGGGGGTTGTTACTTTCAGGTTCCCCCCATTTATGCTGGCTGATTGTTGTCTGTTGTTGTTGCTGTTGGTGTTGGCCAGGAATCTTCATCACATTTGTTTTATCTATGTTCACCTGGAGTCGTATCTTCTCGGGATGCTCCTTCTGCCAACTTATTGCCTTTCACTTGCATATCTTCCAGTTTGTGGGAAATCAGACATATATATGATCGGCGAAATCCAGACCCTCCAATTTTTTGGTGAGTGTCCATTTTATGCCTGTTTCCTCATTGCTCACCGTCTGTCGCATTATCCAATCTACTGTAGTCAGGAAAATCATTGGCGATAGTAGGCAGCCTTGCCTCACTCCCATCCTCACCTCGAAGGCTCCCGTAATTTTCCCGTTGTGGATTACTTCTCGTACAACTGTCGGATGAGATGTACAATTGTTGGCAGCACCCCGTAGTAGCGAAGTAATTGCCAAATCGGTATGTAATGTTTTCTATTTTCAGGACTGGAAATTAGTTTGTAACACAACGCTATTCATGTGAACAGTTAGTTCTTTAGTTATGATAAACCACTCCCATAACAATTAAAAGTTTACACATCCAGGTGGTCATAGGTGAATCTGTTATGTAAAGTATTTGAAAAACAGTGAATTCAAATTACATCTTCTTTAAGATATGTAGTAGTTCACTGTTAAAGAATGGCGCTAGAATATTCAAGTTCACTACTTTAAGCTCAATTTTATGTTCAACGAACTAATAATGTTACAGTTTTTTATTTTTTACATCTTATAATAAATGTATTTTTAATGTTTATTATATGGTAAATTAACTAATAGCATTATCAACATACAATGAGATATACAGTTATAATATGCCTTTTTAATTCCTCCCTGTATTTTAAGATAAAACATGTAAATTTCGGATAATTTACTATTCCAAACAATTCTGTAAACTTATAAAAACACCTTCATGTGATTTTGTAAAAGTAGAATGAAAGTTTCTCACTTCAAGTTGTATTACATACAAACTGGCTGTATGCTTTGTTTAAAAGGCAGGAACTTAGCAACAAAGTTATCCACACCTACTTAAAATGGTTAATACAATATATATATATATATATATATATATATATATATATATATGGTAATAGAAAGAATGAGATTGATGGAGGTGAGAGGTATTTCAAAAAACTGCTATGTTAAAACAATTAATGAACGTTTTATCTCATCACTCTTCTTGAATGGTTCTAAATTTTAACCCATTTTTCGCGGCACATCAATAATACAAATGGTTTGCATTTTCGGGATAGGCTGTGCAACGAAATTCTTGATTCAAGCTGTCTATACAGCTAATAGTCCAAGTAATTTGAATAAATGATATTCATAATTTGGAATGATTTACTTCATGATCCTAAAAATACCATCCATAATGCAGTTTTATGAACCTTTATATTGTAATAGTGCGCGTGAACAACAAGTAGTTTACTATACGGATAATGTGGTTAAAGCTGTTATACCAAACAATCTATATATCAAGATATTAAGAACTACGTTAACTGGCAGTTACTGTGTTGACTACAAAAGGCTTCCAGAAGGCTTTATTATTGTGAAGAACAACATTGGATTGATTGACTATATATAACCAGTCTGATGAAACTAGTTTTTACAGCATGCCTAAATACCATTCTCTCAAAAGAACTTGGAAAGTAAAAGCGAAAATCTGAAATTGTGTAGCACGATTAGGTTACTATAAAACTTGACTATACAATTGTTCACTTCGAGCAGTGTACTTGGAGAGATGATGCGATTCATACAGGATATACAAAAGCCTCTTCAATGTCACGTCTGTGGTTAGTGGAGTAAATTATGTGTAAGTAACATTTATCACCTATTGAATTTTACGTCTTCACCAACGAAATAACTCATTATTCTTTCTGTTATAACACCTTAATCATATTTTATACTTTATGAATTCGTAGTTTTTGTTCTCTATCCTTCTAGGTTCTCTCATTGATGGATTGTATCACAAATCTCAAAAAGTATTTCATATTTTAACAACTTATATGCAAATGAGATGAAACACTACACGCTTCTAAAAGTAAACCAGTTACTAAAAGGTATGTAAACACTTCTCGAGAAGTCAGGAAATGAAATCAATAAATTCGGTCAGTATTTTCATTCCTTACTAAGGATCTGTGGGTTTTTCTTTTGCTGATGCTACTAAAGGTGATTCTACCTCTTGATTTAGAGAGATATCAAGACCAAAGGCTCTAATTAATTAATACGAGTTTTGAAGTAATGAAAAATGCGTAAGTAAAATAAAAAATTTCCCTGAGTATTGTTTTGTTTTCATTTAACCATTAGACAATTTAAAATCATATTTCACAGTTACAGAGATAAACAGCTAATAAAAAATACCAAGAGAACATAAAAGTCTATCTATTATGTATCTGACTGGACTTAAATGTATTAGTCAAAGCTTATTGATCAAGTGTGCCACTATGGCCATTAGGCTATATGAAACTAATGTACATTGCGGCAAACTAGACTTTGATGTTTTATGTTTTGAGAAATCAATTGGTATGATGCTGATCTGACATTATAAATTCAACAAAATTTAGGGTTCGTACATTTCTAATTCTCCGAGATCATTCTCGCTTATGTGTAAGCTTAATCTTCAAACAGTGGCATATTTTATTGTGTTGCATATTATTGCCTGCTTGATTTAGTAAAGTAGGTTCAAAGTACCTAGGTAGTATAAACGTTCCAATAACCTAAATCACAACAAATTACTGTGAATAATGAAGCTATCTGACATTATAGGCAACGCATATATATATGTATATGTATATGGCGACCTGCTTAAATCACTAGGCTTCCTAATTTTCCATTCATCATAAGGTATTTCACTTACTCTATTTATTGATAATTTAAATATCCAGTTACATCTCTAAATCATAATTTTTTCTCATGCCTATTTTTAAATAGGATTCAGTCTACCTCTAGGAATTTCTCGAAGGAAACCGGGAAAATGCATAGCAAGTTATTGAAGAGTATTTTGGAACCATATTCCTTCAAATTATATATATATATATATAACGAATCATTAATAATAACTGGTAAAGCTTAGTCTGTATTAAACAAAGAAATGGACACATGACAATAGTAACTACTTAGCGTCCAATCAAAGTATCCATTACATTCCTGCAGGGAGTCAGTCAGTAGCCGAAATAACCTGACTGTAGCACCGACTAATTCAAGTTCGAATCTCAGAACGTACATGAGTCCCTTCAGGATTGCAGATACACCTTGACAACGACTGCCAACTAGTATAAGACCTAAGTTCAAGGCTTCCTGGAGATCGCCTCAACCATCTGCGTCGGTGGCACAGTGGTTAGGACTCTCGCCGACCATGCACATGGTCCGGGGTTCGAGCCCACGCCGGCGCACACCTGATATCTATGGTCGGCCTGCAAAATTTGGGCTACCGATATCCATGCTGAAAATTCCATACTTGTACCAAAAAAATACAGTGTGGAATCAAGCTGTAAATCAAAAAATCAAAAAATCAAAGAAAAAAATTATACTGGTTATTATTTTACCTCAAAAAATACACTGAGCATTCTGAACTATGCATTAAATTATTTTTCAGAATACAATTATAATTATCATCATATAACGAATCTCTACTATCAAGTTAGTGATTCAATTGTGCAGAAGCTCTCTAGACTATAAATTAAAATCAAACGAGAAATTTATAAGACGATAACTTCATTATAAAAACTAATTTTAGTTATAATATTTTCGTATGGACAAAATCCCTCTCTTGAAATTAATCACATCTGAACAACAAGTTGAATTTAAAAAAGTATACACTAACTTTAGTTGTAACACAGTTAAACACTTTATTTTCAATTAATTTATATTTCTCATAACATCAAAAACATCTTAGTTCTAACTAAATATGATTTAAACTTAAATGAGTCTAACAGCGACACCAACAGTAACAACAACAACCACAACAACAACAACACCTAAATGATACTGAAAGCATGGATATGTAAATAATGTTGTTGTAGATTTGAAGCAACATTGTCTAAAATAACGAAACTCAAGTGACTGCTTTATTAAACCGGTGTTCAAAATATGATAACTTTTATCACAGTTTTATCGAGAGTTACGAATATAGGTGGTAGAACTACTTGTTAACTAGTCAACTACTTATCATAGATCCTAAAATACTGACAGGAAGCATCATCTATCCCTTATAAAAACAATGTCTTGAGGACATATTTTGATCCAATAGGTCAGCAGCAATCAAGATTTGTATTGATTTCGTTGTAACCTACTACATTTTACATCACATCATAACTACTTCTAATGAAACGTCTTCTAAAATTGGCATAAAATTAAATTTCTAAGATTTTCAAATTTTATGAAGATATATTTAATTGAATTTTAGATTTTCCCGTCGATTGATTGGACCGAAGTGCTCGGTTTCTGGTTGACATGTCTGCTTCTTGTGCAGATGCTTCGACGATGCCTGGGCATTTAATTAGAATTTAATTGTTGGATGGTGACTAGCAGTGGGATGCATATTTCCTACTATTTAGGACTCGTCGACTGGATGTACCTACATTTCCTAGTGAGTGATGGTGTTCCCACCAAGGCTCGAACCCAGTGCCTATAGTTTCAAACACCAAAGCGTTTTCCACTACCCCTTGAACAAGAGGTAGTTCTCGTGGCCTAAGTGGTTCAGTGGATAACGCTTTGGCATTCGAAACTATAGGCACTGGGTTACAGCCCCGGTAGGAACATCATCAAAAAATTGGGAAATGAAGGTACATCCAGCTGACGAGTCCCAAATATGACGAAATGCGCATCCTGAATTCTACTGCTATTCACCATCCACCAATTACATTTTATGAAGATATAATTGAGAATAACCTTTACATTTGTATCTCTGACAAGTGTCAACATTTAATTCACCCACCTTTAATCTTGAATTAGCTTCTTCTGGATCATTTGTATCATTGTATTCGGCATCCAAAGATTCATTCAACACTTTATTTTTATTCTCATCATCCATACTATCATTGTTAGTTTTATTGCTTTTATTATCAGATGGCCTAGTAAAGAAAGTAGAGGATTTTGATGATTTTGACTTTTTACGAAAACAACAATTAAAACATTGACTAAAAGAAGTAGATTTCGCATCTTTATTTCTTTTCTTTTTCTGTTTTTTCTTCTCTTGATTTGTTTTATTAATAATACTTTGAATATTATTATTAGTAGTAGTATTATTACTGTTATCATCATTATCACTATGTACAAAAATATTCGGTGTTCGTCGAATAATAATTTCTTTTTCATATGTATTATATTTTTTCTGTTTTATACTTGCAGTTGTACGATCAGATCTTCGTGAACAGATTGACGGTGGTGAGGACAATGATAGTGAGTTAAATGGGGATGCTTGAAATCTGACTGTTTCATTACGATTCTCTGATATTGTAAACATAATAATAACAACAATAATAAAGTTCCCCACCAAAAAGAAAATAAAGTGTATAATTGATTGATATCCTTGTGAGAAAATCCTTTTCGTTATATTGGTAGAAAATAATACGATTACATTAGCAGTTCACTAATGAGAAGCTTAATTACTACAGTGTTTTCTTTTATTGTCTCTCTCTCTCCAATTCTATTGCACTGTCTCATGACAATTATTTTTTATAAAAAATCTTACATTTAATATAAATCGACCAATTACATATCATCACCTGAATATAAATATGTAACTGGTATGTCTTTAAATATCTCTTTTAATTGTCATAACTCACAAATACTGTAAGTCAAAAAAGAAAAAAATCATAAGAAGCTTCTTTGCTTTTTTAAGCACAGTGTATTAACTAGAAAGATTCACCAACACATGTACATACAATACAAACATAAGCACAAACTGAAAAATGTTCGACTGCTGTGTTTTGTGTTTATGTATTATATTTTAAAAGAAAGAAAAACTAGGTATTTCTTAAGTCGTCATGACTGTTGAACTCACTAATTAAATCAATATTCCCTTATTATTATTATTATTACACATGAGTCATAATAGAGACAATTCTTTAAACAAAACGATAAAGGTCGGTATTGACTGTGATACTTGTTATGAGTGCAATATCAGAGTCCTAAGGTCTAACTGCCAGTATAATCAAGACATTTATTCATTCAAATCTACTTGTCTTCATTATAATATTTTTTTTATTTGTAGACATTAATCAATGAAAATAAAGTGTACGTGAATACTATAAAGTACAGTTTAAATTTTGCTAGTGACCATGAAATGAAATCAGTCTGAAATCAATAAATATGATGTTCTTCTCTTATTTTATTTTTTATACTTCTGTGGTTCTGTATATGCATACATATATAACAGCACAATATTTAGAAATTTAAAATTAATCACTTTTAAAAAATTTATGAAACTTTTTTTTTTCTGGTTAAATAACTAATTGCTAGTCAGTCAGGTGCTCGAAATCGATTATTCTCTTGCATAATTATGTGATTCAAGGTGTTTTGAGACGATTTTACTAGTAGACTAAATTTATTGATTGAAATCTTGCATCCTTGAATTGTGATTTGTATAACCAGCGTACACATGCACACAAAAACACGTATATGTGAGTACAACTCTCAAGGATATATATATATATATATATATATATATATATATATATATATATATATATAGTATCGTAATTTATTCAGACCTATTGTGTAAACTGTGTAAAGACACAGTTAGATGTGATGATGATCAATATCTTAGGAATAAAATGCTTTGAATTTAGGGTTTGTAGTTGTTGTGACGCTTAGTCCAAAGGGTTACAGGGAACTCATCATTTTAAATGATATCTACGTGACGATTCAACAAAAATATTCTTTTATGCCAACAGTTGGCTTAAATAGTTGAGATTTCAGTCTTTATGAGATGAAATCAAATGATGTTTTTAGTTAGTGACTAAAAGTGGTGCTACCAGATTTTAGGAAGGAAACAACTGGATTTTCACATTGAACTAACATATCGATGGTTTTCCTACTTGAGTTTAAAATTAATATGAAAAAATCAGGAAAATGACTAGTGCATGTTAGAAATTGTGAATGTATTTCTGTACTAGGTTATAAGCTACATAAGTGATCAGTACAGTGAATTATAGAACGTTGTCACATTTCCCATTTGGACTGTTGAAAAAAAAATGTCTAAAAGTCAACGATTTTCTACAAATACTTATCATAAAACAGTTACTTCTTTACTAGAGAACAGCTGCAACTTTTATAATAGATTGAAAACTTTAAGTGCTAAGAAGGAAATTACCACAAGGTTGGAAAACATCTAAAAATTAAAGGGAATAAAGTCCTAGACGGAGACATTCATAGGTTACCTCATTAGTTATGAACGATGGAATGACTTTTTCTTTTTATGCTTTTTTCCTTCAAATTTGCCCAAAATCTACACGTTATCAAGTAATTTAAATAAAGTGGATTTTATTTTTCAAAAGAAATTGTAGTGAAATTTCGCCATAGATCGTAAATTGTGGATTTGATCCAAGGTGTTACCAGTTTGCCGAAATGGTAATCAGAATTTAGGTGGCTTAAACTGATTCGTCTGTCTAGCTTGAGTCACGCTGGATACACTGTTGATGACCTGGAAACTAAACGAACAAAGAGGCCTTCCGCTTTTTAGATCACTTTGATATGCCTAACAAGCAATACTAGTTGATGTGAGTGGCAGAGAACTACTCATTTCAATCGATCCGTAGTGTAACAGCAGAAGGCAAGACACGGAAACAAACAACAATATATATATATATATATATATATATATATATATATATATATATACAGTTTATATTCTTTAACAAATCATTGAGCGTGTGATTTTAGTTTACATTAAACGACATGAAATAGAATGTTCAAATTCACATATAGTATTCTGCTTCTAATGCAGTATTGAAGTGTGGGAATATGTGAGAATAACGTTCCGTTGGAACACATTGTCTGTATTACACCACCACAGTAATACTTAGTCTGACGCATTTTCATTCAGTTGTATTCTCTGAGCTGGATGATTAAATAGTGAAGCTCTTGTTGTATTCCTAAACAACTGATTTGAATCCATGCTTGCTTTCTTCATTGAAATAACCGGTGTCAAGTTGATCACACACTGTGAGGTGAGTAGTTTTGCTTTGCATAGGAAATTTATCCTCTTCGGACTGTGGAAATTACAGATTGCGAATTTCACCTATGGATTTTATATACTTTTCATTTTAGTCCTCGTAAGTTGAATGCATATGTTTACTGGCAGATTATGTCTCTCTTTTATGGCTGAAAACTCCCTTCATGCTATCCAGATCTAAAATGTTTCATTCTGATGCATCAATTTAATTCTTGATTTATAATTGTGAATTATGGTAACTTATTCCGTCCAGTGACAGTAGCAGGTAGCCTGATAACATTAAAATACGGCTGATGTAAGTCATCTTTTGAGAGCTGATCTGGGACTTAGTCACACAAATTAACAACTGAATAAATTAGATCAACTTATTTTATCAAATAAAGTAAAAATGAAATGATTCACCATTTAGGATCAAACCATGTAGTACTGATTACTTTCTAGTGATCAATAAAAGTAAAATGATAAATAGTTACTCTAGAAGCTAAAAGCTGTCAAACCCTATTGATTTAACTTATTATTATTTAATCGTTACTAATATTTTATGCGTCAGTGGCATGGCGGTTAGGACGCTCGCCGACCATGTACATGGTCTGGGGTTCGATCCCCGGCCGGCGCAATCCTTTACCTCGCTAAGCCAGAAATAATACTGGTAAAGAGGAAAGGTTGGGCATGAGGCTAGCAACCCCATCATGTAAAATTAAACACTGCTACAGAAACTTCAAGCCATTAGCTTGAAGCCCTGTGTTCCACTGGGAAACGTGAAGGAAATAAATATATATATTATGCGAAAAGCCAACGGGTTTATCTAACTGCCCAGCTTGCTATCAGTCATCAACACGTCTTTAAGAAACTTTGATTCCTCTTAAATTTCGAACTCGGTATATATAATTGTTAATATTCATGACTTTTGTAAAGTATTGAGATCATGCCTAACTCCACAAAGCCTTGAAAACCTTACAAAAATTGCTGTCCTCTGTCAGTAACAAGAGTTAATGGAAGCGTTAGCAGTATGCCCAGTAACAAACTTCATGGTATAACACAACTATATTGAAACTTCAAATGGAAACTTTAATAGCTACGACTTCAAACCAATAGCAGCGATACGAGTTTAGAAATAATTTTTGTTTCATAAACCCTTCGAAATATTAGGAGTTGACTGACTACAGGTGAATACAGAAATAATTTATGTAAACTAACACCTTAACTAAATTGGTCGAACTCACTGAACATCTATTTGATTATTGTACTGACTACATTTATAATTCTTGAATTTGGTTGCATCTGTTTCTCTGTACTGAGAATTTAAACTTTCAAATTTAGCAACAAGATCAGCTGTATTATATCTTTTTGAACTGTCTACAAATAAACAAAAAGAAAAGAAATTAACGTTGTGTTTCTATAAAATTTACTTTCAATTCAAATGGAATAAATATGAAGTACTAATCCAAATTAATTCAAAAAGTTGTCTTCCGCTTTGCAAAGTGTATTATTGTCATGACATATAGAACTATTGGCAGTCTGGTAAACTAGCCATCTGATAATTTTTTGAGTCTATATTATAAAGTCAGATTACGCTATGCTTTTTTTAGCTACCAAACTATCACCTAGATGCATTCTGTAGTTAATTTGTTTTATTATAACTTTCATGCCGTGAGTAATTTTACACTTCTTTATTTTTTTTTGTGATTATGTTATTATTATTATTTACTATTGCTCCCTTGGGTTCCTAGTGGAACATAGAGCTTCAACTGCACGTCTCCACTTCCTTCTGTCTTCTGCTGTACTTTTCACCTGCATCCATGTTAGTCCGTACTGTCCCAACTCCTCTTCACACGATCTCCTCCATGTCACCCTTGCACTGACGTCCCACTCACCGCTTCCCTTTCGGCCTGGTTCCACTCGAGCAATGGCCTGACGCGCGCGATGTCACTCAGTGGCCTCCTCAGCTACGAGTGTCCAATCCATCTCCACTTTCTCCTGCATATTTGTTGGGTGGCGATTGGTTCTTGTTTTGTTTGTTCCCATAGTTTCTTGTTGGTGATTCTTTCCGACCCGGCCATCTGATCTTCAGTATAGAGCAAAGATTATGTTAGAATTCTGGTTTTTTTAAATGAAATGAATTGTAATCCCTAGAATACGCGAAGGTGACTACTAATCAATTGTAGACATTCTCATAGAATCGGTATAACGTTACTTAGTGCACACTTTAATATAAATTCATATGACTATTTTTGTTTAGCTTACTAATTATGGTGTGAATAGTCACTTATGTTAAGAAATTAAAAAGGCCTAATTAGTAATTCATGCATATAATTATTAATAGACCCTTTTTAAAATAATTTTTAAGCGAAATAGTGTACACTACAAAGGCTTTATTTTGTCGTTTGTTTTCTTATTTTGTTAGTATGCTGAATTGGTTCAGGAAATAATCGCAGACCGAACAAAGATTGTAAGTCAGCAGTTACAAAGGAATCCAGCAATAAAAGGATTTCTGGTTTTTAGTAACTTCTTTAAAACTTAAGAATTATGTTTACCGAAAAAGATAATTCCCAGGTTTTTCAATGGTTCTCTAACCGATGTCAGCTAATGACGAAATGTCGTAGCCAATCAGTCAGATCTCTACAAACCAATATTTGAAAATTCATCTGATACTCACTAGCAACTGACTCTATTCAGGTAGATAGTTACCTGGGTTTCCATTGGGAAGTCGAGACGAGTAGGATACAGCAGACCGGGTGTGAGGACAAATACTCACCAAAGATTTTGGCTGCTGGTGTCACACTT